CCCAATATTAAGGCCCTTAAACGGAGGGGGGTTGATTTAATCACGGGTCTACATTAGGGGAGAGCATGTGATGATCCCGAAACCCCTAAACCCAAAACCCAAAACCCATCCTGGGAGGCCGCTTCCCTGACAGTTGAGACTTGAAGCGACTCTGCATGCGCACGTTCTTGGGCCCTGGGGTTACTTTAGGGTTTAGGGTTTAGAGTTTAGAGTTCCGGAGTTCTTTTTTGGGGTTTGTTCTGTTTTTTTTGGTAAGGGACTCTAAAATAGTACACCAAAAAGAACCACATAGGAGGGTCTGGGTACTACCTGGTGCTAGTTAAGAGAATATGATTTATTGCCTAACTCCGGGGTCCCTTAAAGCAGTTTCGTGGGCGCTGATTTGGACAGATGCCAGAGAGCTGCTTTCTTGAGCTCAATCAGGGAGCTAAAGAATATTACGTCCAATCAAGGAGAACGAAGTGGACAAGACAGTGGAACATGATATGAAAACTGATGTTATGTAGGGGTTTGTGGGGCTTAGGGTTCCCAAGCGTTGGGAACATGCGTCAGGAACATACATAGATGGACATGCATGTTGGGAAGACTCCCTATGTCTGAGAATGTGTCCCGTGCGGCCTTGGCGTGCGGTGAGTGATACTGCTAATGACTGCAGCTGACTACTTGAGACGGCACTCCTCCTCCAGAAAGCAGGGGAAAGTGGATCTGCAAGCGTGCGCATCCCTCCTGTTCAGTTGCATCTCTTCTTGCCGTTGTGCGTTTCTGGAAGTGGACGTGCCTGGCCCAAGCATGTCTCGGATAGTTGTCGCAGATGCTTCCATACTGGTATCTCAAGATGTTCAATATTCAACAGGATTTCGATTGTAGGAAGCATCCGGCTCAATGTTCACTTGGCGGGGCGCCGACATGTTAACAACAGTCCTACCAGCCCCCTAAACCCTAAACCCTGTTGTGTTTCCATCCATTACCCGCCGAAGTCCTGGAGTTCAATGCAGCTTTTGGGGTGAGAGCTCTGCGTGGTGCCAGGAGTCCAAAAGTCTCCAAAGGCTCCTATGTAGTTCTTAGTAGATGGGCAGGAAACCTTTGACCTTTGGGGTATCTCTAGTCCTAATACAATACCAAGGTTAACCTTTTTGGGGCGAGGGCACTTAGCAACTAGGAGTCGCTGTTTTGGGTCTGTCATGTTTTCTTGGTGAGGGGCTGCTATTTATCTAAACCCGAAGAAACTACACAAATCAGAGGGTCTGGGTTGCACAATGGAATTAGGGTTTAGGATACCCTATGGGCGGCTGTATGCTGCGAATCCGGGTATCTCATGACTATGGGGGCTTTACAGATTTGCGGCCCATTTTGAGTTTCATTATAGCTGAAATATTACTATAGTCCGGTCTAAACTAGGGCCCCTCCTTTATGAACATCATATGCGAGCTATAATCCCCTATGTTACCCCCTTTAGGGAGTTTAGACCCTAAACTCTAAATCCTAAATCTAAATCCTGAACCCTCATAAACCCTATACAACCTCCTTCAAGGAGTTTAGACTATAGCCCATTTTGAGGAGCTGGCTTTTCTCGACACCTGCAGCAGTGCCCCCCTCCCATCATAGAGAGTCTTGCTGATAGGAGGGTTTCCCAAAATTAGGGGTACCTTATTGACCGTCCCCAGAATAAGGACTAGAGATTTTGGGGTCTATATTGGGGGTCCCCTTGCTTTGGGAAACTGCCATAGTCAAAGAGACAGAGAGAGCATCAATGACGTTGACATTGATCGGGTAACCTAAGCCCTAACCTAAATCCAAATTCCTAGCACAAAGCAGCTTGTGCAGACGATTGTGCCACGGTCGCTTCTACTGGCCTGACTATTTGTTACTGCGCATTTGCTCATGCATGCCTCCTTGCATGGGCATTGCGTTGGAAGAGTTCATGTCCTTGTGAAGGCAAGGGAAGCGCTTTTGCTTTGCTTCAGCATGTTTGGCTACAGATGAAGCAGACGCGCGTCATCCTTTTCTACATCCAGATCTTTGCAGCAAGTCAGTCAGCTACCATGACACTTGCAGTACTCTTCTGTAGATAGACCCCTTGTTGTGCTTCCGTCCTGTGACGCGACGATGATCACCGTAGCCAGAACGGCGACCCCGCAGACATTTCGCACGGAGCGCGTGTCCCGGCACATCTAGTTGCTTTAGCAATCTTACTATCGTTGCTGCTGCTGTATTCATCCGAACAAGAATCTGGTGGTTTATATAGCAACTGTGCGTCATGGGGATTATTCTTGGGCAGCCCGCAGGAACTACTAGAGAGATCCTTTCCCTCATCCCAACTAAGCATGCGCAAGAAGCTCTTTCTCCATCAAAGTCTCTAAACCCGAAGGTTTCAGCATCTCGTACCTCTGAGGAACACCTGGCGTGGGACTGCAGTTCTGTTCCCAGAAGACTTGCTAACCTTTCGCGACACTTCAGAAGACACCTGGATCATGGAAAGGACGGCAAAGGGTCGGTGGCATGCCGTAATGTAGTGGCCTAAGCAAGGGCGACTACTATGGTGCTAGATGGCTTGTACAGTCACGGTAGAGAGTACCTCAAACGAAGCGGACCACAGCATGATAGTGGTAGTTATTCAGGATTCTACGTTACGTGCACAGCTGGCTGGCATCCCATGCCTTGCTCCTGTGCTGTTGCGTCAGGACGCACAAATACGGGATGATTGTATCCTGGCAATGCAAAGCTTGGTGAAAGTTCCAGCTGTCGCGTTGATGCTACCAATGCCCCTCAGCGACGACGCCAAGCAGGCTTTGCTCGAAATCAAGGAAGGAGGCAGATATGCGAAGAACGGCATGTGTTCCACATTGCAAGATTTCATTGGGGACCGCTTCTTCTGATCTGCTTCTTCTGATCCGAAACCCTGGGCAATTGCAAGCGACCTCACCCGACCTCACCCTCAAGGGTGGTTTATATAGGGAATAGTACCAAATTGGCCTTAAATTGGGAATTGAAATTCTTCTATAACCCCAACATATACCCTATATAAACCCGTTATACTTGTTTCCAATTTGGTTTCCATTGTCCCCATTGGGGGAATTGAAATTATTCCAAATAACCGTAGGAACCACCAAAAGCTTGTGGGAGAGTCTCTGTTTAGGGTTTATAACCCTAAACCCTGAACAGGGTTTTGGGTTCTGTCCCGTGATGCGAGGCGCCGAGATAGACATTGCGGCTGAGACAAGTTTCTGGGGTGAGCCGAGAATGCTCTACATCGTGAAGACGGAAGGGGTCTCCCTGACTGCATTTCATGCCCTGGGCACGTGCAAACCAAGTAGCATGTTGTAGACTCCGTAGGGGTTTAGGGCGTAGGGTTAGGGCTTAAGGTTTAGGGTGTAGGGCCAGAATATGAAGATCACTACCATCATCCCTATGCAGGGGAAGGGGGGGATTACCCTAAACCCTAAACCCTAGTCAGGGGTCTACGTTATTGGGGCCGATCTCTGCTGTGCTATGCAGGTTGACACCCAGAGCCCTGTGGCGCAGCTGCACCAATTCCTTGAGGTCCGGCTCCTTACAGGTGTACCTGTTACTATTGTTTCAAGTCTTCATGCTGTTGTTTATTCATTTATGTTATTATGACTCTTATTACTATTAGTACTAGTAGTTCTTAGTTCTACTATTATTGTTATCATCAATATTAGTATTCTCTGAAATGAAGCCTTTGCGTAGCAACGTGCTCCCCTTTCGCTAATTGTGCAGGCGTGGCCATCATCTGCTTTGATTCTGAAAGTACTGACAAAGAAATTTGTTGTGCAGGGGGGGACGGGCTAAAAAGGGCCATACAGGTAGGTGGGGTACCGCTAGCTCCACTTGAAGTTACAGTAATTACTCTCCAAAGAATTAGGCGATGCAGTTGCGCATCCATCCAGTTGCCTTATCCATGGTAAAACAAACGTTGGTTTAGGGTTATATGAGCTACAGTCTAAACTCCTTAAAGGGAGGTTATATAGGGGGTTGTATAGGGGACTACTATAGGGCTTACTAAGGGGGATACTAGGAGTTTAGACTGCAGCTCATATAGGATTTAGGGTGTAGGCTTTGAACCCGAGGAGCGATACCAGCAAGTAGGAATTCGATTGTCAGAGCTGGGGCTGACACTGATTGGGTGAGGTTAAGGTTAAGGGTTTAGGGTTTAGGGTACATGACTGCCGCAAACCCTGTGTCATTGATGTTTTTCTCAAAAGTTTATCAACAGCCAAGGGTCCCGCGCATCTCCCTGCAAATCCCATGTACAAAAAAGACTCGTAACAGTGACAGTGATATGAAGACAGATGTGTTGAATGCCTAGTTTCCATAAACCGGGGGCCCTACTATGGACCCCAATATATAAAAATCCTCGCGATGGAGGCCCCCTCAAAAAGGGGCCACTATTTTCTGGTCATCTTATGCATCTCTTATACCCCCGTGTGGCACATTTCCTTTCAAGGACCCACTCTCAGCCCTACACACTCAACCCTACACCCCGGAACCTAGACCCTCAACCCCAAACCCTTAGGCCCCACACCCTCCCTAAACCAGGATGCTTTTCGGAAAAGACTTTTCCTATTCTGGACGTATAATCCCTGTAAAGCCATGGGCCATAAAAGATGAAATCTTAATTTCCTACAAAACTTAAACCTATGCCAGTAAACCCTCATTCCCTAGACCCTAAACCATCCCTAGACCCTAGATCCTGAAACCTGAGCCCTAAACACTCGACCCTAAACCAGCTAAACCCTAGACCCTAGGCCCTAAAGCCTGAATAAACCCTTAGACCCTAAACCCAATTTGTTGTGCAGATGCTGGCCGAAGCAACCTTACCGGTGAAGCCTCGCGACGGACCATGGCTGTGGCCCTTGCACGAGCCAGCAGCTTTGCTGCTTTAGGGTTTAGGGTTTAGCGCTTAGGGCTAAGGGTTTAGGGTTTGGGTTTAGGATTTAAGGTTTAGGGCTTAGGGTTTAGGGCGTCTACCTGCGCAGGGCTGGGTATCCATGCGCCGATGGCGCCACCCCACTTCCAGGGATCTGTGGGCAGCGGCATGTCTTGCACCCGTGGACATTGCCCAAGAAGCCAGTGAAATTGGGCTTTCTGTCAAAATCCTCACGCACTGTGAGACATCACAGGCTACCACCCAAACTACTTGGTGCGCGGTGTATACCCGCCCGT